AAGATTTTGTAATTTGTCTTATAATAGAATTTCATCTTTAAATATGAAATATGTATTCCTTTGTGTTTTAGAGAGTAATAATCAATTTTTCTTGAATATAAATGATATGTTTTATCTTTTGAAAAAAGACCTCTCTTCTTTTGATAACATTTGTCTACTTTCTTGCTATAAAAAGATCTATCTCACAATTAAATTAACTTTGTAAAGTTTATGTAAATGAAAATTATCATAATGTCATATCCAATAAATTGTCACTCTCTTAAACAGAGTTTTAGAAGTTTCTTATGTTACATAAAATACTTATATTCATGAAAGATTCCTTTTCCAAGGGAATGGTGTTAGTATCTTTTCAAATCTTTTTAAAAAAGATTTATTTATTTATTTATGCATACAAGAGTTGGGGTACAGGCCAGAGATGGGGGGGGGGTGAGAGGATTCACCAGAGACAGAGTAGGGAACAGAACAGGCAGACTGACTGAAATACACTGCTGAGGGGAGCAGCGGGCTCATCAGGAGAGGTCTGCTGCACCATGTGGGTTGCTCCCTGGCTGCCCGGGGGATGGAACTCGTGCTGCAGAGGACTCGGATTGCTTCATAGTGCGGTGCTTAACCTCTTGCGCCACCAGGAAGGTCCATCTTTTCAAATCTTAAACAGTTCTAGTATAGCTGATCTTTTCACAGATACATTTTTTACCCAAATGCATAGTTGGCACATGGCCAAAAGAATAAACTATTCATTGGTGATAATTTTTTATGTTTTTTGGAAGTTCTCTGTGTATACAAAAGTAAAAAATAAAAAAAGAAAGAAGTGTGTGTAGGTGTGTGTGCTTGAATACTTGATTAACTTAAAATGTTTAAAAGTGCAATGAAGATATTTTTGGTATTCATGTCTTTCCATGGGGAAGTCTATATATTTTTAGGGATTGGTCATTTATCCTAAGCTTTAATAAACTATTTCCTTAGATATTATAATTGGTTTTTAAAATTACTTATATTTCCTGATGTTGATTAGACCAGATAGTATAGCATAATATCATTGCAGCTTGTAAATATTTTTCTTTTATTTTCTTTTCCATAGTTTTCTTTGGCATGGCCCCGAGGTCATCCATGATTTTTTTAAACTATGATTTTAACATCAACATTATCTTTGTCATACAAATATTTTCTTTATCTGGACACACTCATTTTGAAGCAAGTGCTAATATACAACAATCTTTGGTCAGTTTTGAGTGTTTCTATTTGTGTTATGGGTATTTGGTTATAAAACTATTCTAATTCACAGACTACTTTTGCATAAAGATTTTCTAGAATAAATACATGAAAATTTTATTAAATTATTTTTCATGGTTTCTACTAATATATTTTCATTTTATAATTCTAAGTTGTAAAGTGTTTACTTGTATATCAAGTGAATATGTGTTTTAGACATAATCCAAGTATATGGGTATGCTATTTTATATTACATAAATGTCAGTTTTTGCATTTCCTAATATTATGACTACTAATTGTACATGCTATTTTTTCATGGATTCTGAATTTTTTTAAAGATTTATTTATTTACGCATACAAGAACTGGGGTACAGGCCAGAGATGTGGGGGTGAGAGGATTCACCAGAGACAGAGTGGGGAACAGAACAGGCAGATGCACTGAAATACACTGCTGTAGGGAGCAGCAGGCAAGTTAGGAGAGGTCTGCTGCGTCATATGGGTTGTTCTCTGGCTGGCTGGGGATTGAACTTGTGCTGCACAGGCTGTGGATTGCTTCACAGTGCGGTGTTTAACATCTTGCACCACCAGGGAGGCCCTGAATTTTTTTTTAAGGGCCACATCTTCCCATTTTTGCATCTGCACACTTGACCTCAGTGTAGTAGGCATAGTAGATAGTGTATCAAGTGAGTCAGTGACAGGATACTTGCATATTAAAATGGCTTTAAATTGTATGATTAATTCATACAATCTCCAGTGGAAAGGAGTAAACAATGCTATGTCTAAGTGATCTATACATTCTTTTTTTTTTCTTCAGGCTTTCTTCAAAGCTGTTACCCTCAGGCTATCAGAGTAGCATGGCTTGACCATGAGTCTGTGGGATAAGCATTGCCTTTGATATCACACTGAGAACTAGTTTTAGGGGTGTTTGCCAAACATAAAGCTATTAAAGTTCTGGTAAATTAAAACATAATTTTAAGATGGTGTAAGGATCAATATGGATTGGATGCATGGCTCATGATTTAATATTTTCTTCAGTTAAAAAATTAGTATTTAAGATATCTGTTAAAATAGTTTTTCCTTAGATAATAAAGGAAATTATAAATTTGCATTCAGACATCTATGGTTGTATAAGAATATAACACCAAATAAAAATGAGACCTTTATTCCTTCTTTTGATAATTTCCATCAGAAAATCAATAAAAGCAAGGTGAACCCTGAAATAGCAATAATCAAATTGCCCTTTGTGTTGACTTTTTATAGCACTTTACTTTAGTGATTATAAACTCTTAGGTGACTAGGATTTCTAGAATTTTCCTCTGATTGCCTGATGTTTCCTACACTTATCTTCAAAGTGATTTTGTGTCTGAGATAAGATGTAAGTATATTGTTCTGGAGCTTGCATATTAACCAACTCTAGATTTGATATTAATAATAAATAATTACAAAGGTGACATTCTCACATGTTTTCATAAAAATCAATGCCCATTTATTTTTCTTGCTATAAGGTAGTATTTTGTTCTTCATAATCCTACTTAGTAGAAGTCTAACCAGAAGCAGCATATTTTTCCATATATATTTATATCCCATTTAATTTACAAGTTACAATGACAGATTTTACTGGAGTTAGGCTTAGCCCTGGGTACTGGTGTAAAATATATTTTTTTGATTCCATAAAACTTTTGTTTGTAGAATTCTCTAATTCTCTGGTGTGTAACGTCCCATCAAAGCATTGAGGAGCATTTGTAAGGAGCAAGGTTAACAAGGCCAAATGGACGCCATCTAGTGGTCACACAAACCTACTGCAGCCTAATTTGAGTAAAGGTAGTCTTCAAAAACAACTCCTAGAAGTCTAAGGAGCCAAGCATATAATATAAGTGGGGAATATGGGTAGGAGAAAAATCAGTTATCCATACATATCATAAGTATGTGGTTATGGATCTGTGGTGTAAGAATGTAAGGTAAAATAAGTATAATGTAGAAGAATCTATTTCAAATTCAGGATAGATGGAAATGGTGTGTTCCGTGGCAAACCCAGTGCTCATCATCAATTCATTTGATTGCGGTTTTTCAGAAGCACAGGCCAGTGTTGGTGACTTCCAAATTTTCAAAAGAACCTGGAAATCTGAATTTGTATATGAAATCTCATAATTTTAATAATATACTGGCTTCTTTTTAAAAGCTGTGCTGTGATCCCAACATAAATATCTCTTGGGTCCATATTTGGCCATTTTGAGATTTTTTTTTCAATAAACGTCTTGAATCTACTGATTTTGTTTCTTTCATGGGGCAGAAAAGTTTGGAGCTTCTTCCTGCAACATTATAACTTGGGGCTGAAATATAAAATTACTGTATCATTGCTAGGTTGGGTTTTGGTTGAAGATTATTTTTATTTAAAAATAACAGACATTATGAACATATTGAGGTTCCAGACAGTCTCTTGTCATTGGTCTCTCTCAGGGCTGTGCATGAAATAGGCTTCCCGGGAATGTTGTAGGGCTCTCATTCTGAGATGTTAGGATGGAACTTTCCCATGTTTACTCTGGTTCTTGAGCTCCATATATTTTCTGATTTGTATTACTTTGGTGCATCTTTCTTGTAAGTTTGTGCTGGGCAGCATTGAGTACTTAAAAAATAACACTAAATTATAGCTTGCAATATAGGGGAGAATGAGATGGCTGTTATTTTCTGTCTTCCACCGCAGCCCTTAACATTGACCATATCGCCCCCCCCACCTACAGAGAAAGTAAAATACAGAGAAAAAGGAAGAATGATCAGTATTCAGAATCCTTTGAACTTGTGTACAAAGTAGAAGAGACAGTATGAAATGAAAGGAACCACAAATAGCCATGTGGCCTAATTCTTTCTCCAGGCCTCCTCTGTTCATTATCTTGAACAGTCACATTTACAGGCAATAAGGCAACCTCTGGTCCTTCCAGCTGTCCATCAGACACTTCTGCTCCTTTTACTCTCTAATCTGGTCCAAGACCACGCTCACTCTTCTTTCTCTTCCAGCTCCCCCTGTCTCTTCACTGTTCCTTGATCACATTGCACACTGTGTTTATTTGGTCTAAAAAAATCTGATTGGTGTCAATATAGAGGGAAATCACTTTGTATAGGTAATTGGCATAAAAAAGCTAAAAAGTAAATACAATTGAATTAAGACAGTAAAAAGAGTAAAAATATGAGCTCAAAAGGCCTGTGATGTTATGCTGGCCTCACTCAGACCTTGGACTAGCTATTATCCTTTCTTTACCTTATCTCCAATAATAATAATGGTAATAATAATAGTAATGATAGCAATAATAGCAATAATAATAGCATTTCTTAATTACCCTATAGTGCATAATGATATGTTTTCTCTTAGTTCATGTTTCTTTCAACAGTTCACCCAATAAATACCTAAATATGCAATTATTTCATTTGTCTATTCACTTGGCAGATCCCCCTTTTAGAATAAAACCTCCATAGGAGTGTGTCTGTGGCATTATTCTTCAGTGTTGTTTTCCCTACTCTAAAAATGTCTGGCATGAAACAGTTGCTCAATAAATATGTTTTTGAATTAATAACTAAGCCAATTTAAGCCATGAAGTTCACATGACATAATCATAGTAAGTCAGTTACTATGATTTAGAGATCAGTTATTATTGTCACCATCATCAAATATGTGTTAGGCCAAGTTCTTTTATTCATTGCCAAGAGGGTCACCCTATTGTTGAGTTACTGTTTGAACTTTGAAGTTTAGTAAAATAATATACAGAGAACAGTTCACTGATACAATGATTTTGTTTCAGGTGTCTAAACTAGCTGGTGTTTTGGTGAAGCATGGTGTCCAGAAAGGTGACACTGTGGTTATCTACATGCCCATGATCCCACAGGCAATGTATACCATGCTAGCATGCGCAAGGATTGGAGCCATCCACAGTCTCATATTTGGGGGATTTGCTTCCAAAGAACTAAGTAGTCGCATTGATCATGCAAAGGTAAGCACTTTATTTTGGGGAAATCAAATAGATTTTTTTTTAAATCATTTAGGCCTACTTATCTATGGGTGACTCAATCCCATTTTCAAATACGATAACTAAAGTTTACCATTTCTTTGGCATATATCTATTATTTAAATATTTATTTTTGAGTCAGTCCTATATGAAAGACATCTTGCTAGGTGCTGTGAGGAATATGAAGCATAAGATAAGGTGCATGCTTTCCAAATTAGCTTGCCATATCATCAGGTATTGAAGACATATGAGAAAAATAACTGCTGCTTAATTTTTTCATTCCACATATTTTCGTTAATCTCTCACCCTATGTCTGATATTGTCCTTGAATGTGGATAATAAATGAATGGTGGTATAACATAGTGGTTAAGATGGTATAATAGGGAGGAGTGGGGATCACAGGATAAGTGAGGGTAACTAAAATTTGTAAGATTGTTTTGAATTGTTATTGAGATGTTGAATTTAAAGCAGAGCAGTGTCTGGCATATAATACTCCTCATTAAAAAAAAAAGTTAACTATCATTATTCTACAAATTTCAAGCAAGAGTTGGCAAACTTTCTTCTGTATGTTACCAGATAGTAAATACTCTCTCGACACTGCTGATTACATGGTTTCTGTTGTAACTATGCAGCTGTGCTGCTGTAGCCCAAGGCAGAGCACAGCTGTGCTACATAAATGAAGGGTATAGCAGCATCCTAACAAAACTTTAGAGAAACACTCTATGCATCAACTTTGACTCTCACTAGAGTTTGCAGATCCCTGGTTTAAAGGAAAGAGTGACTTCTTTCAGTTGGGGAGGTGCTGAAGAATAAGAGTTAGATATTGGCTAAAATTTTGCTACCTGAATGAATGATGCTGTGGAAACTAAAAGGAGGGAAAAACAAATATGTCCAGTATTTTAGTCAGGAAAGGGTAAAATTCCTTTGAAAGGACAGTGACCAGACAGATATGACTGAAAAGGGAGAGAAGATGAATTTACAAAAACAGTTTTTGTCTGAACTGGATCCTGTAGACATCACCAGGGGAAGGTTTTGAACAGGAGAGTGTCCCATTTTAAGCAAATGCTAAGAGGAGGCAAGTCTTCTAAAATGATATGAATGGCAGAATGGCAGAGAGGTTAGGGGCTACAATATGAACGTTGGTGGGAGGTCTGTGTGTGAAGCAATGGCTGACGTGCAGGAGTGTAAAGGCAATAGAGAGATGAAGGAAGAAAGGTTGTTACTGGAGTGAGATAATAAAGGTTGCTGTGTATAAGTCCCAGAGGAGACTTTTTTTTTAAAGATTTATTTATTTTTATACAAGAACCAGGGGGCAGGCCAGATGCGTGGGAGGGTGAGAGGATTCACCAGAGACAGAGTGGGGAACAGAACAGGCAGATTGCCTGAAATACACTGCTGAGGGGAGCAGCGGGCGAGACAGGTGAGGTCTGCCTCACCATGTGGGATTCTTGCAGGCTGGCTGGGATCGAGCCCGAGCTGCAGAAGCTGTGGACAGCTTCACAGTGTGGCACTCAACCGCCTGCACCACCAGGGAGGCCCCCAGAGGAGACATTTTTAATAGGCAAGGGAGCTAAGCTTTATTAAAAGTCCCCTGAGCACTAGGCATAGAGTGAGGTTTGCATAGCTGACTTCATCTGATAACAGATAAATCTGTAGAACTCCAGATCTGAGTGCAAATATGGACTCATCACCATATTCTTTTCTTTTTCCTTTGAATTAAACATGTTGAGTTAATGTTCATGAAGGGAAATCTGAGGTGAAAAGTCCATCAGTCACTCACCAATTTGTAGGTTATTGGGGTCTCTTAGGGAGTTGTATACTCCAGTGATTTAGTTACAGAAATGACAATTGAGTAAAAGTATAAGATGAGCTATTTCCTTAAGTAACTATTCATAAAACTGATGCTCTAATACTGAAGGGTTTTTATTTTTCACACACCCACACACAACCTTCTTACAGAGTTTAAGCCAGTCAGTGCATATTCTTCTAGGCAAGACTATCTTGTAGGTTCAAAGTAAAGATACATATATACTTGGATAGAATTAAGTGTTAAAATCAAGGATGATTTTGATGTCATAATTTTCAAACAAATAAACTGAAGGGAAAAAGTTTAGTTTAACAGGTGAACTTGGGAAGATGGATTCTAACAAGCAACGTAGATCAAACTAAACCTCCAATAAAAGGCTGTTAATAGAAGTATGAAAGAGACTTTTTTTTCCTAGTGAAAATTTTCCAGTCTTAACTTTATTAAACTATTCAAGTTTTGATATATTCTCTCTATATTCTTAATTTGATGTGTAACTTACTTTCATTTATTCATAATTCTAATCTTGTGATATGTTATCTAAAATTATTTTTTGTATTACAGATATTAAAATGTGAATTATATTTAAATGTCTGAACTTTAAAAATGTAATAAAAGGAACTGAGACTTATTTTCCTCTTTTTTTCTTTACTTTTAAAAGGCAGCCTGATAATATGGAAAGAGAAATGTTCTGTAATCAGCCAGAACTGGCCCTCTGTCTGACTCCACTACTGACATCCTGGGGCAAGCCATATAACTACACTGAGCCTGAGCTCTATGAATATTAAATGACATTCAAAAAGCAGAAAGTACTATATATGCATATATTTGGCATAATATAAACCTTCCATAGATGAAATGTATTATGACCAAAAATCGGAATTCAGGAAAGTTCTATCTTGGATTGATTATCTGTGTCCTGAATAATTTATTATCTGTCTCTTTTGCTTTGGAGTTCTTGGTGAAGAAACAGTGTACTTTAAAGAATAAAGACATGTTTGTTTCTGTAAATTAAGAGAATTTGTGTTTCATTCCACAATTATTTACTGAGAAGCTTATATGTTAAACGTTGTGGCAGGCATAGGAAACAACAATATAAATAGGACCCAGATTTGTCTTGGAGAGATTTCTGCGCAGCCCTGGACTTGAAGGAACACTTTGACTATAGTCCGACACCTGAGGCATGTTCAGAATGTACGAAGGAAGGGAATTAACCTGAAGTTCTGCCCTGTGCAGGCACGCCTTTTGACTCCATGGGCTCATGTATTACAGAACGACAGCAAGTTGTCATAAAGAGAGCACAGTGTGTCTTAGTGACAGGGACAGGTTCAGGCTTGTGGAGCTTGAACATGAATCATTGGGGGTCTTTTTAAGACAAAATTGCAAATATGATATTTGGTATAAATGAATATATACTTAGAATGAGAAAAGAATCATGACAGAATTATCAGAGGTATGGATTCCGTAGGCATTAGAGAGAGATGCTTTCATAAAAATCTTTACAAATAACTCCTGATTGCATCCAGACTGGCCCTTCCCACCTAGGAAATGCTACCACTTCAGCATTTGCACTCTTTTGGGGACTAGGTCTTTCAGGGACCTCTGCAAGTGAGGGGCCCCAGGCTTGAATGCCCCAGGTTCTGGCACATCTACCTGGCATATTTTTTAAAGAAGGTATTTTTAAACATCTCCCACTTAGTGGCCAAAAAGATCATTGAGCATGTAATTTTGAACAGGTAAGTGAGATTTATGTGGAAATAATTAGGTCTGTAACATTTTAAAAGGGTTTATTGGTTTTCAGGCCATTTATTCAATAAAGAACAGAATTATGCAAACATATCATTGGAAATGTTATATTACCAGTCTGCACCTGAAATATTGTGATTACCTTAATGAGTATTGCTAAGCTTTCTCGATTAATTTTTTTTTTATTGTAGCCCAAGATGGTTGTTACAGCATCATTTGGCATTGAACCTGGAAGGAGAGTGGAATACATACCACTTCTAGAAGAAGCCCTGAGAATAGGACAACACAAACCAGACAAAGTTCTCATTTATAATCGCCCAAATATGGTAATTTGAATTTTGAAATTGGTTCTTGCTTATGGTGATGTGCTAAGGATGATGCTATTTTTATCATTTAAAGAGACATTTTATTTATAAACCATTAAACATGCTATCTGAATGTCATTATTTGATCAAAAAATAAGAGAGAAGCATGAATGCTATTTTCTGTCTTTATGAAAAACTAGCTTAAAACAAAAAGATTGAAACAGAAATACTCATAGTATTAATGAATTTGATTCCATCTGTAATCTATTGTGTCAATTAATTAAAATGTAACAATGATAATACTAAAACGCATCAAGTGCTTATAAGAGATGTGAATTACGGAGATGTTTTCATAAAAATCCTTACAGGGGCCTCCCTGGTGGTGCAGCGGTTGAGCTCTGGGTTGCGAAGCTGCCCGCGGCCTCTGCAGCGCCGGTTCGATCCCCGGCTGCTCCCCGGCCACCAGAGGAGGGTCCCACATGGCGCGCAGACCTCTCCTGCCGCCCGCTGCTCCCCTCAGCAGTGTACTTCGGTCCCTCTGCCTGCTCTGCTCCCCGCTCTGGCTCTGGTGAATTTTCTCACCCTCCCGCGCTTCTGACTGTACCCAGTGCATGTATAAACAAAAAACAAACAAAACAAACAAATAAATAAATAAAACATGCCTCTATAAATAAAAAAAAAAAAAAATCCTTACAAATGCCTCTGGATAGCAACCAGGCTGGCCCTCCCATCTAAGAAATGCTGCCTGTTCAGTGCTTATGATATGATTTTTAAGACTCCATTAACTGATAATTTAAAAAATCTTGCTGGTAGCTCTTAAGCTAGGTGATGGCATTATTCCTATTTTAAAGAAGAGGAATCCAATGGAACAATACTCTGTTCTTACAGAGTAAGTAAGAGTAAGTAAGTAAGTAGGTCTTAAGTATGAGGGTGAATATTTGAATGTGGGTACTCTGATGACATGCTTAATCTCCCAGCAGTCCTGCCTTGTATAAGTCATTTGTATGTAAAATAGCTTTTAAAAAAATTAGAGAAGGTATTTTGGCAAACTACACTCAAGAAAACAAAAGGTGAATATTCAAAACCCATAAATTATGATCCTTGAAGGAACAACAAGCAGTATAACATATCAAGTGATCAAGTGCTTTTTATAATGTTTTTGCTGGTAAATTGACAATGACCACCTTACCTCTATATCAGCACAAGCTTCCAGCAATTTTTTGTGGAACCAACTTGGGTTTCTAGCAGATGAAGATTTTTTCCAAAAGAAATATTACAAGAGTGCAAAGAATCATTGCCATTTTGTGAAGCTCTTGTGAGGCTATCTGCAGAAAATGCTTAGATGATAAGATATAAGAATAGAAAACATTACAACTATGTCATTTTGATTACTGCCTAGCAATCCCCATTACCGCATTAAATTCCCATGTAAAGTTTTAGTCATCTGTGGTTCATGAACTGCTACATTCAGTGATTTTAATATTCTTACCATCTTGAAGAATGTTCTTTCTTTCAGATGACCTCAGGCATATTTTTTAAGAGGCCATTATTAAATCGGGGATTGCAAAGTCAGCGATAAAGAAGGCTTTGGGTAAGAGGATAGAGGAAGGGTAGAACAAACACAATAATTATGTGTACTTATGTGTTTGGTATTCACACATAAATGAGTTTATGTAGGGTTTATAGAGCATAAGCCAGTACCGCTGCTAAGTACTTTCCAATACTTTTTCTTATTTAATTCTCACAAACCATTGAAGTAGACTGCTGGTACTGGCCCTGTTTTGCAGATGAAGAAACTGAGTCATGGAGAGGTCATGAACCAAAGTCACAGCTAATAAGTGGTGAACCAGGATTTGAACTCCTGCTTAATGACCTCTAGTTGATAAGATACATGCTCTTTCTTTTACTTTACACACTAAATATGGATATGAATGCTTTCTATTCTGATTTTTTTCTTTTTTTTTTTTTTTGTGGGACCCTCACCGGTGGCCAGGGATCGAACTGCGCTGCAGAGGCTGCAGGCAGCCTCGCAACCCAGCGCTCAACCGCTGTGCCACCAGGGGAGGCTCTTCTTTTTTTTTTTTTTTTTTTAAGGATTTATTTATTTAGACAAGCACTGTGCACAGTCAGAAGCGCGGGAGGGTGAGAGAATTCACCAGAGCCAAAGCAGAGAACAGAACAGGCAGACTGACGAAGTACACTGCTGAGGGGAGCAACAGGCACAGCAGGAGAGGTCTGCGCCCCATGTGGAACCTTCCTCCCGTGGCCGGGGAGCAGCCGGGGATCGAACCAGCGCTGCAGAGGCTGCGGGCAGCTTCGCAACCCAGCGCTCAACTGCTGCGCCACTGGGGAGGCCCTCTAGTCAGATTTTTCTAATGCAAATCTCTTCTCTTTCCATTAAGAGAAGGCTCAGGTTCTCACTGGCTCATGTTCTCTCTTTTTCTTTCTCTTGAGACCCTTCCCTCTATTTTGACTTATCTTTGTTTTAGATAAGGATGTTGGTGCTCTCTTGTCTTATTGGACCTGCTGTTCAGGCAGTAATTAAACCCAGTGGACTGGTTTTGCTTTGAATTTAAAGAGATACAAATGATGAGTCTCCATGGTATGTCTCATTACCCAGGATTGCATTATTGCCAGAGGGGGGATAATCCTGGCTGCCATCCCTAAACCTCTGGCAAACAATGACAGAATCAAATGAACATCACATCCTAATCACCCCTGGTGCTCTCCTAATATAGCCTTTCAGGAATGATAACATCTAGGAATGTCTATAGAAGTATGTTTACATATATGTAAAAGCTCATGTTAATATTTTCCTGTTTTCCTTTTATCAAATATCCTTTACATATGACTATATTTCTTAGCTTGAAGAATAACCATTAAGTCCTCATTTCATTTAATCTGCGTTTATTTTTATAATCACTGAGTTGACTTTTTTTGTTATGTAGTATGATTTTTTTTCATAGTTCTATAATTGTGATGTCAAAGGCTTGATGATTTGAAATAGGTTGTGTTTAACTGGTGTATAAAAGCATGAATGTAATGTACAATTTCATCACAGTCAACTATTTATATTTACCTAAATGGTCCAGCCAAGGGCTTCGCAGAATGAAGCTGGAGAAGTCAGTTGGACCTGAAACTTCACCTTCATGAAGGTCAATTCAGATTGTTATCTTTCAAAGTGTTTATTCATAAAAGCATCATATTTGTGACATTTATTGGAGTGTTAATTTGTGAGTGTACCTCTTAAATTTATGACCATTTTCACCATCCTGATTAATATATTAAGGAGATTGAAAAATGGAGATGCCATGACTTTTCTAAATCTCTCCGAGACTCTGGGCTTAGCTCAAGCATCACTATGATGAAATGCTTCTGAGAACTCTTTAGGTGGTGGAACTTATTTTCACTGAGGGATGTGTCATCGTGAGTACAGTGAACATTTCTGAAAATAACTAGACATTTACTGACGCTTAACCCTATAACTTAAATAGCTAAAACTTCCTATTGGAGTAATTTTTCTGTAAGTCACTTCCAGACTCTCCACTTCTGTGGTTCATTTCATTGGCACCATTTTTGAAGTGGTCTAACTTCTAAGGTGTGTCGATTTAAACTTACGACTCTGTGATTATAACATTTACAACACAGAGCTTGCTTCTAGGAATAAGAAAGAAAGCAAATACTCACTATATTAATGAATGACCTAAACAGAGGAAAACTTGGATAGCCTTTGAGATGTCACATACTCCCATCAATTTGAAAAGCTAATCTTGTTCTCAAAAAAGCAAAAGTATTTTTCTTCTACTCTTGAAGATGTTTTAATGTTCTCTCACTTGGAAAGATTCTGCTAAATGACCTTGTTAAAAGTAAATTTTATTGGCTTAGCTAATATTTTATTGTGAAGACAACAGTTCCAAGTTAAAAAAAAAAAAACAGGTTTTGAAACATAGAAATCAGTTTGTGCAGTTAATGATGTACATGCACTTATGGGAATATGAACTTCTGTCTCAGTTAAGCTCTGATGCTTGATGACTATATGGTTACATCATATTGAATTTCTTTCTTTTTTCTTTTTTTAAAAGATGTATTTATTTATGCATACAAGAACTGGGGTACAGGCCAGAGGTGCAGGGGGCGAGAAGATTCACCAGAGACACATTAGGGAAGAGAACAGGTGGATGTACTGAAATACATTTCTGAGGGGAGCAGCAGGCAAGTCAGGAGAAGTCTGCTGCATCATGTAGGTTGCTCCCTGGTGGGGGGGACTGAACTTGTGCTGCAGAGGCTGTGGACAGCTTCAGAGCGCTGTGCTTAACCCTTTGTGCCACCAGGGGGCCCCACATTGAATTTCTTAAGGATATTCCTATAGGTTCAGTTAAAACCAACATCAAACTGCTGAATACTTTTTATGAACACCGGTATTAACTCATAACCTTGAGAATATGTAGTCATAAATCTGATATTTAGTGCTAAATTGACCCACATTTTCAGTCAGATGCTCAGACTTCTGTAGATTCAGCTACTCTCCATGTTTCCCTGATTTAATCTCCCTTGTTCAGTTCATATTCCTCTATTTTTGCTTTGTAGGATACAGTTCCTTTGGCTCCAGGTCGTGACCTTGATTGGGATGAAGAGATGGCGAAAGCGCAGCCCCATGACTGCGTTCCTGTTCTTTCAGAACACCCACTGTATATTCTGTACACTTCTGGAACAACAGGGTTGCCAAAGGTATTCACTTAGTGATATCTATAGCAGTAAATGCCTTTTGCACTGAAAATATTGATTTCTGACTATGTTTGCAGATTTGAGATTTAAGTTTAGGTACTTTGTGTCTAAATGAACATATTGTTTAAATATAGAAAACTGCTAATTATTTTTAATATCAAATGCTTTGCTCCAGATTCTTGCAAAATCTTTGCATATAGTAGCAAAAAAGGTGCTTTAGTAAGCTATTAAATTTAATAGATATATGATCACATATCAGTTGGTTTAATGAAATTTTATAAAAATAAATTTTATTTTTAAAAACTTATTAAAGTTTTTTTTTTATTTATTTATGCATACAAGAACTGGGTCACAAGCCAGAAGTGTGGGGGTGGGGTAAGAGGATTCACCAGAGACAGAGTGGGGAGCAGAACAGTAGAACAGGCAGATATACTGAAATACACTGGTAAGGGGAGCAGTGGGGGATGCAGAAGAGGTTTGCTGTGCCATGTGGGTCACCTCCTTGGCCGGGGATCAAACTCATGCTGCAGTGGCTAGTGATAGCTTGATAGTGCTGAGACTTTAAACCCTGTGCCACCAAGGAGGCCCTGAAAGTAAATTTTAAATGAATAATTTTATTTTGAAAATGGAAACATAACCTTCATACAGTATAGAATTGATTTTTTTAAAGGAATTCAATTCTTTGTTATAAATGCACTTTCTAGAATTGGCATAGACAGTTTGAACAATAGGCAATTTATCCAGAGTATTGAACTATTTGATTTGCAGCCCTGAAGATACTCAAAGATTTTTAAATCAAGTTACTACTATGTGTTTTCACAAAGTCAAGTTAAAAGCATCAATATTCATGAATGTATCAGATACAAAATAAATACTAGTAATGCTAAATATTACTGTTTCTCATACAGCTTCATAAAGACTTGCAATATCATATTCATATTCATCTCCATTTAGATATTCAATATTCATTGAGTCATATAATTTTAGTGGGAGAAAGACCTTTCACAATCACTGGCATCCTGAAGGGTGTTTGCCTCTGTTAATAACAGATTTCTGCAGCATCTGAGTTTTTAAACATAAGCTGTGAATGGTCCAAACGGAGTGGTTCGATTAGGTTAAATTTAAAAAAAGAAAATTAAGATAATCCATTTAAAACTTCCACTTGTGAAAAAGTAACTTTTGTAAGGGAATATATTTTCTATGAGGACAGAGGTGATGTTTCATTACACTTCAGTCTATCTCCGTGCTTTTTGCATTAATGGGCCTCAAAAAGCCTTTCTTAGGAGTATATACAAAAAAAAATCTGTGTCACTGTAGAATCAAGGTCTTATGTGTATAATTTTTTACAACTCTGATTTCTTCATACAAATAAATGTTTCTTCATATTGGAGACCTTCAGACTTGATTGTTTAAGCAATCCAAATGATCTGTGGACAAAATCCTTAGCCTCCATGTTTTGCATTTCTGTATATACCAGCCACAGAGATTCCTATTGAATGTTTGACTGTAAAAATAAAGGGGACTTGTCAAGTCATGACTTAATATAAAAGTATTAGAGGAAACCCTTGACTCTGAAAATGTAGTTTAACATAACAATTTTTTTTGAAAATCACATTAACTTTTTAAAAGCCTGATGTAATCTTATAAAAATATTTGTGTCATCTACAGACTTTAAGTCCCTCTGAAATTCATTGTGTCATGCATGAGAATCTACAGGGGAAAGAAAAAGAAGAGCTTGTCAGCACCTCTAAACTGGCTCGTTCAATGAGTTAGAAATAAAATAAAAGTAATATATAGAGTATTCAACCTGAAAGGTTAAAAAGTGGTGGTTGTAAGGAGTGTCCTAACTATTCCAGGCTTTCTTTGGCTCAGGAGGCTCTTTTTGGATTCCTGAATGCCCAAAGTAAAAATTGTTCGACATTTCAGTTATCCTTTTTCCTCCTAATGTACATCCTGATGATAATTATTTCAAAAGAAGACTTAATTGTTCACAGATCTCTGTTCACACTGAATTCAGCTCAATTCAATATGTATAGAGTATTAATTCTATGCTGAAAAAGATAAAAATGAGAGGAAACCCTAGTCTTTTCAGTCTTGTGGGGTTAAAATATATAAGAACATAGGTCATGCGAGCAGATTGCAATCCTTGTTATAAGAAGGCAACACTCTCTCTTGAGGAAAATATGAATTTGAACGGGGTCTGAAGGATTAAGTACAAATAAATAAATATTACTGAGCACCCAAATATATATCTGGCTCTCTTGTTAGAAGTTTACGTTCTGGAACTAGGATGTAAACATTAAACATAGGTAGCTATGTAATATGTGAAAAGCATTACGATAAAAAAAGCCAGCGTAGGTGACACAGTGATGGAAATAAGGAGAGTGTAGTTCTATCAGGGAAAGCCCTTGATCAGGTGACATTTGAAGGATGAAGGATGAATAGACTTCTTCCTAGAGTGATGTCACAGGGAGGAGGGCATTCATGGCAGATTGGGCGAGCATAACTCAAGGCAGGAGGGTGTAAGCAAGGCTCCAGGATAGCTAATGCATAAATTAATACAAATGAAGAAAAGAAATGTCCAGGTAACTAGGTCGGGGCCCAAATCTTAAAATCTAGCCTAGACAATTGGGTTATAGTCTATATGTAAGGTATAGGGAGCACTTATGCTTCCTAAGCAAGAGAGAAAAATATGAAGGAAGGTAACTCTTGTAACATACTGTCAGGAAGATAGGTAAGTACAAACCATGGAGACAAAGGGATTCATTTTCAGACTGTTTAATTAGTTCAGTACCTTACTTAGGACAGCACATTTATTAGAGAGGAATCAAATTTGGTTCAAGGATGATAGGAGTGAGACAGAGGAAATGCCCAAGACTTTTGAACATGTCAACACAAGAGGGTGGTTTTGAATATTTATTGAAACACAGTAAGATGGTTTGGGCTCGGGGAGACTGGGAATTTTTTAGCAGGTTGAGTACCGTGTTTCTTTGGGGCATTAACATGGAGAGCCACACTTACAATGAAGGTGTGGGCCCAAGAGGTACATGTATGGTTGAAAATAGACCCAGCCAGTCATCACTATAGAGGGCTGGTGTTCAATCATGGGATTAAGTGGGTTTGCAAAAGTAAAATAGGAAGTCTGGCAAGGTACAGAGCTGTCTCTCAAGGTCCCCCAGAAATATCTCCCATTTCTTTCCAGTGGACTTTAGCATTTCAAATGGATTAAAATTTACATTGGTAACAAAACTTCAACTCCCTTGTTTTTTCAACCTTATGCATATTAATTTTTATTTTCTTATCTTCATAATATTGCACATTCTCTGAAGTTTTAGAACATATTTCATACATAATTTAATCCTCTGAGACACTCACCTTAAAATTGGGCTATGGCAGATCATCAGAATATTACCTCTCCAGTAAACTCCCAGACTCCTCTTTATTCATAAGATTCTCACTTCATTTTTGGTAGGTGTAATCAGGATTAATAGGACCTGAAATTTTAATATTGAGATTCCCAGAATAGAAACACAGGAAAGATGAGTGCACATGCATTTAGGAAGCATTTAAATGTAAATTTTTATGTCATGATGTTTATTTTCTAAATCTATGATCTTCATGAAGGAAAATAAAACTGTGAGCCCATAAAAGTATTCTGCTTAAAAAGATTCATTTCTCATGGGCACATATAAGACACCCCTAAGACAATCTGCTCTTTGGTTAAAATTTGTAGATATATTTAGGACATATTTGCATCTCCACTTCTGCCAGCCTTGGAGTTGTCAGGTTGCTGTATGACAGGTTAATCTGTTAGTTGCTGCAAATATTCCAGCAGCCACAGCTGAGCTGCTTTGCATACATTTCTGTCTTGTTGTGACCTTCCATCTTGTTTGGCTTGGCTGTCTCTATTCAAGATACTCCATAGGGCCTCCCTGGTGGCACATGGGGTTAAACATAGCGCTGTGAAGCTATGCACAGCCTGTGCAGCTTGAGTTCACTCGAGCTACCCATGTGGCGCAGCAGACCCCTCCTGTGTCGCCCGCTGCTCCCCTCAGCAGTGTATTTCAGTGCATCTGCCTGTTCTGTTCCCCACTCTGTCTCTAGTGAATCTTCTCACCCCCGATACCTCTGGCCTGTACCCCACTTCTTGTATGCATAAATAAATAAGCCTTCAATAAAAACAAAAAAAAAACACAAAAAACTGCCTTTTCCCCTAAAATATGCTTTTTATTTTTACATTTTTTTAATATTTTATTTTATATAATTCTTACATCATTTTTCATCTTTGCACAATGTATGCATTTTCATTATGGTTATATTCCCCCATACAATTACACCCTCCCCCTTATTTTGACTCTAGTCCTTCCTCTCCCCACCCCTCACTCCCCCCCCACCGCTGTAGTGTGTCTCTGGTTTGTAGTTGCTTATTGATTTTGATTTTTACTTTTTTTTTTTTTAGAGGCATGTTTTATTTATTTATTTGTTTGTTTGTTTGTTTTATTTATACAAGCACTGGGTACAGTCAGAAGCGTGGGAGGGTGAGAGAATTCACCAGAGCCAGAGCGGGGAGCAGAGCAGGCAGAAGGACCCAAGTACACTGCTGAGGGGAGCAGCGGGTGGCAGGAGAGGTCTGCGCGCCATGTGGGACCCTCCTCCGGTGGCCGGGGAGCAGCTGGGGATCGAACCGGCACCACAGAGGCTGCAGGCAGCTTCGCAACCCAGCGCTCAACCACTGCGCCACCGGGGAGGCCCTGATTTTTACTTTGTATCGATTAGTCTTTTTCCTGGTCTCTTATTAAAGTTTTCTAGATTTCTGCTATGAGTGAGACCATCCGGTATTTTTCTTTTTCTTCTGGCTTATTTCACTGAGCATGATCCCTTCTAGCTCCATCCATGTTGCTGCAAACTGCATGTGTTTATCTTTTTTGAATGCTGAGTAATATTCCATGGTGTATATGTACCACATCTTCTTGATCCAGTCATCTATTTTTGGGCATTTGGGTTGTTTCCAAAGCTTAGCTATTGTAAACAGTGCTGCTATAAACATAGGGGTGCAGGTGCCCTTAGGAATTACTGTTTCTGTGTCATTTGGGTAAATACCTAGGAGTGGAATTGCTGGATCATATGGACGCTCTATGTTTAATAGGTCAAGAAATCTCCACACAGCTCTCCATAGTGGTTGGACCAGTTTGCACTCCCACCAAAACTGCCTTTTTTTTTTTTTAAAAAAAAAAAAAAAAGATACTCCAAAGCCCTATGCAATAGGAGAATCCTTTGTCTGGGTGGGGAGAATCCTTTGTCTTGGGCATAGTCACATTTATCTTCTTTCAGCTTATATCATGAGGGCAGTGATAACCACATGCATACACAAAAATTCCAGTGCCAAAGGAGAAGAGGGGAAAAGAAATTAAAAGGAAGGAATTGAAAGGAAGGCATAACAGGGAGGTGTTAGATAAGGTCTTTTGCCCTGATGTGCACTTATACAACTTATATAACTGTTGTTCTTAATGTTAGGTAACTTGTTCATATTCCCTCCCCTAGGAAATAAAAAGAAAAACCAAATAAAAATAGTGAACATTTGTTTTATCTGTGCTATAATTCTTGCAGTTAAAATGCTGAACTTGTTAGAACTTTCCCCCCATTTCACAGTTGCTCAGATCAATAAAAAATTACACTGCTACTAAGGAGTCCTCCACAGAGGCAGCTCCCACAGTCACTCAAAGGTCTGTAGCAAGAGATTTTATGTTTGATGAAATATCCCAAATGGAATTATTTCATTTCTGCTGATTCATTAAGTTCCACAAATTTCAAGTGGTTCCTGATCTTCAAAGAGGGGTATTTTTTTTAAAGATTTATTCATTTATGCATACAAGAACTGGGGTACAGGCCAGAGGTGCAGGGGTGAGAGGGCTCACCAGAGACAGAGTGGGGAGCAGAACAGGTAGATATACTGAAAGACACTTCTACATGTTGAATTTGTAAATACTCATATACATTAATACTTGTCTAATAATCAGAGCATCTTCACATTGTCTCTCTTCCTGTTTCTGAGATAGAATCACGAGTATGTCTTCATTTGAGGTACAGAACTTAATTCCCACCAAAATGTCTTTCAAGTTCTGAGAAGAATTTAAGGATTATAGATGAGCCTAGAAAAAACAGGTATATTGGCAGGTTATAGAGATTTTCTCAGAACACGTTAAATCATCTAATATCTTAACTTTTAAATTAGTTGGAGGTTAAGTACATAAAGAGATTCAAAGAGTAAAATGTGTTGGGCCTCCCCGGTGGCACAGCGGTTGAGCGCTGGGTTGCGAAGCTGCCTGAAGCCTCTTCAGCGCTGGTTCAATTCCTGGCCGCACATGGCGCGCAGGCCTCTCCTGCTGCCTGCTGCTCCCCTCAGCAGTGTATTTCGTCGGTTTGCCTGTTCTGTTCTCCGCTCTGGCTCTGGTGGGTTCTCTCACCCTCCTGCACTTCTGACTGTACCCAGTGCTTCTATAAATGAATAAATAAATCTTTAAAAAAAAAAAAAGGTGAAATGCTTGCATTTTATGGGCAAGTGCTGATACTGAATAAGTATTTTCACCTCTTAAGATTTCAAATATAATGTAAAAAATTTCATTTTTAGTTTCTGATTAATTTAGCTTACTTAGAATATGATAATTTGTTTTATTTTGAGCATGATTTATGTGTTTTCAGAGACTGAACAAGGTTTCTCATTTGCATTTTTATTATCATTACTTGGAAAATATGATTGCACAAGAAAAAATACTTTCTCACTTTATTTTTAGTCACAAATTAATATTTTGATAAAGAAAATCTCATTTTAAACCTAATATTTATTTTTTTTACTTTTAAACTTCTAAATGATCTATATCTAGAATATTACATTATGTCATACTTTTTTCTCCATCTTGTCAAACACTCAAAAAATTGAAAATTATTTTCTGAATACTTTGGCTACATGACAAAATTTCATATCTAGAGATTAATGAATGGTAAAATGATGCTTGATGACAATTTTTATATTCATCCTTTAAAAAAATAAAAAGTGTATAGCGAAGAGCAGTGAAAAACAGACATGGTTTTTCTCTCTCCTTAAACTTTCATTATTTTAGAGAATCTTTGCTGCCATCCTCTAACTGTCTGCACATGTTTGCCCTTTGGGTGGTATTAACGCTAGGAGAAATATAAAGCAAAGCTGTAATTGCTAGAAATAAGGATATCATTTTAATAAGATTAAATTTTAATCTTCATAATTTTAAATGCTTTTTCATGCAAGATCTCATTGTTAAGTACCTCTCTTTTTGGTGAAATGGATTTAAGCATCCACCATTTCACCTACAGGTTAGTGTATTTAAGACATTAATATGAAAGGTAAATAGAAACCCACCCTTTAAATTACTTTACAAATATAAATTACTCATCTATATTATCCCTACCATTCTATTTCTTCTTATCACTTCCAGCTGATTCATCTTTCCTTGGTGTCATATAATATAAAATTTTACCCAATTATAGTAATATTTTGAATTATTGATAAAAATGAGTTCCAAGTGCAGAGACAAGAAGGTGGAGAAAATATTCTAAAACCTCTTAAATGAAATCATTACTGAAATTAATTTTCACTGTCTCCATAATAAAGAGCATATTGTCTAATCCCCCCAAAATTACTTTTTATTATCCCTTACAAAATGAATAAAATATTTTAGAAAAGATTTTGCAAGTTGATTACTATCAAATTTTATCAAGATATTGAACCAATAGGACAAACGAATTAGCAAAGTTTGTAAAGATAGCACAGAATATACTTGGGAAAGAGCTTCTAGTTTACATAAGAAATTACATATATGAAACCTGCTGGCAGGCATTGAGGAGTGCTTATATCCCAAGGTGATCAAGAGAGCCAGCTGCATGCTAACCATGTCATATAATCCAGAAAGTAGCTGTCCAATACCAACAAAGCTGCATGTGACTTTTGCCAAGAGACCAGGTGTTCCTGATGTTAGATAAAATGTGTTCCACAGCTTGATACTTATGTTTTATTAGTGGTACTTGAAGAAAGTAGAAATTTTGGTAACTAACAAAGTCATTTTTTTTAATTCCCTTGATTCATGTATGTGTGTTAAAGCTGCAGAATTATACCAAAAGGATACAATTAGTAGCATGTTTATTAATTAGGGCATGTTTTCCCTTTGAGTGAGAATAATAATTTTTTGCATAGAGCATTTATAATTGCTCTACTAATGATGTTTCAAAATATATGCGCATGCAGTGTAACTTGTATTTCTTAGTAAATGTTCACCTGTTCATTCTGAATATTTCATGATTAAGTCTTTCTGAGCCAATGATGACTAATGTTTAGAGTGAAGCAATAAGCAAAATTAGTCATTGGACCTTCCTGGTGGTGCATGCGGTTGAGCGCTGCACTGTGAAGCTGTCCGCAGCCTCTGCAGTGTGGGTTCGATCCCGGCTGGCCTGTGAGAGTTCCACATGGCACAGCAGACCTCTCCTGTTTCATCCGCTGCTCCCCTCAGCAGTCTATTTCTTCAGTCTGCCTGTTCTGTTCCCCACTCTGTCTCTGGTGAATCCTCTCACCCTCCCGCTCATCAGGCCTATACTCCAGCTCTTGTACAAATAAAATAAATATTTTAAAAAATTTGTTATTAAATTTGCTATCAGTTTTTATTTAGATGACTTGTGTGCTCAGTTTTAAACTATTAATCTTGTATTAACGTTGGATATCTTCAGTGTGAAGGATAGCAGCGAGATATTGATGCATGAAAGTTAGAGTACTATGAGTTAACAAACGTAACATTTCCCAAAAATGTAATATAAGGCAAATATAATGTTAGGTAAACTCCAACTCATCTTGACTACACAGAGTTCCACAATTCATTAAAAAATCAATAAATTATTTAGCTCTAATACTGAGGTAGCATCATCCCCAGAATAGCATTTTAATGAGGATCTATTATTAATTTATTAATTTTAGGAGTGGCTCTGCTATGTTAATCAGTCCGATAGGCACAGAACCACCTTTGACTTCTTTGTGCACTCAATTTTGAGTTTCCATTTTTCATTCTGAAGTATGTCTGCAAACATTAATTTATCACACCCTGAAAATCCTATTATGTGTGATTTTGTGAAATCAGAAGATTTTCATTAGAAGACCAAAAGTGGCCTGTGAAACTGGATCTACAAATGGACTGATGCAGACAAATTATTCTGTATTTATTATTGGAGGAGCAAAGAATAATGATTTAAATGCAACTATATGAAAGTCAAAGTATTTTGTGGCTTATAGAATACAAAATGTTTTAGAGAGAAACACTTTTTATGGAAAGTATAGAGACAAAGATCCTTTAATATACTATTTACAATTTTAACTTCTCCTTTTCTTTCCCACAGGGTGTAGTTAGACCCACTGGAGGATATGCTGTAATGCTAAACTGGACAATGTCTTCTGTTTACGGACTTAAACCTGGAGAGGTAATTGTTCTTTCGAATTCAACATTGCATGACATTTCTCTGATTGATAATATGTTAATTTTTTTATTCTTATTTTTTTAGGTGTGGTGGGCAGCTTCTGACTTAGGCTGGGTTGTTGGACATTCCTATATCTGTTATGGGCCGCTTCTACATGGGAACACAACAGTTTTATATGAGGTAATAAAAAATAATACAACCTATAGATGATAGTTATGTAACCAGTTTTTTGAGAAGTAGTCTATTTTTTTAAAAGATTTATTTATTTATGCATACAAGAACTGGGGTATAGGCCAGCAGTATAGGGGGTGAGAGGATTCACCAGAGACAGAGTGGGGAGCAGAATAGGCAGATTGACTGAAATACACTGCTGAAGGGAGCAGCGGGAGAGTCAGGAGAGGTCCGCTGTACCATGTGGATAGCTCCCTGGCCGAGGATTGAACTTGTGCTGCATTGGCTGCGGGTAGTTTCATAGGATGAGTCTTAACCCCTTGTGCCACCTGGGAGGCCCTGGAGAATTAGTCCTAACTAGAAACAGAACATTTTGGATTGGGGAAGGGAGTATTTTTATATATTCTTCTAGTTAAAGATATAATTTCAAAAGAGAAAGGGATATATAGAAATTAATAGTCACATATAGGTCCCTTTGATTTGTTTGTTTTCCCCAGTGTGGGAAGGAACATTGGTTTATATACTGTATGCATTTTAGGAATACAGGTTCATATCTCTTCAAATGTATCTTACCATACTATATACAACCAAAGCACCAGTAATCCTACACCACAGTCCACTCTGACCCACTCTAAACTCCCTCCCCCTTTGCCTGGCCTTGTTTCTTGACACGTAATCAACTCTCAATCAATATCTGTTAAATCAATGTCTTAATGAAGATGTCCCCCACAAAAAAATAACTTACTGCATATTTAAACTTTTTTCCCCAAAGGGAAAAATAATATTTCTAATTTTCTGAAATTATCTGAAGTTGCTGTTAAGATAACTTCATAAGCAACTTAAGTAATAGTTTTACTTTATTTCTTTATTTTTGAAAGGGAAAAAGCAATACCTTTTCAGAAGTCTACATATTAATAGGGTTCTGATTCCAACAGACCTAACTCCAACAGCACATGAACCTTTACACACAAATATGCTGTCTGGTCTATTTGTTATGTATTTGCTCCCCTTTTCAAACAGCCTGTCATATGTAGAATCAAAACTCAGCACTTCTCAAGAGCAGACACATTTTCCAGGGCCCTGCCTTCCTTATCTTTGCTTGAATACCTCATACAAATGTATCTTCACTCACATTTTAATTCCATAATACAGTGGAAAATCTCCCCCACCAAGGCAGCTGCATAGCTAAGCAAGAAATCATGGTAGTTGACAGACATCTCCCCGCAATAGTCCCTTAGGATCTATTTTATTTCTGAAGCATCCATTATATTGTCTCTTGTTTTATTTATGACTTTATTTATTTGAGTCTTTTCTCTTTTTGTCTTAGTTACCTAACTAAAGGTTTGTCAGTTTTATCTTTGAAAAAACCAACTTGCAGTTTCAATGTTTTCTATTCTCTTATTTATTTTTGTAAAAAATAAATAAATAAGAGAAAATGGTAGCTATGTGAGGTTATGGATATGTTAATTAGCTTGTTTGTAGTGATCATTTGACAATGTAACATATCAAAACTTCAAGTTGTACACCTTAAATATATATAATTTTAATTTGCCAATCATGCCTCAAGGAATGCTGTTTCTATATAAAATTAATAAGCAATAAATGAATTTTCTATACTTACACCAATAAACAAGTTTTATTGTTATTATTATTGTTTTTCCCAAGTAATATTCTATTTGAATGAAGAGTAATTTTTCTGCCTAAATGTATGAAATGTTTTTTACTAGACAACCTCACATCTCTTCCAATTCATACATTCTAGGATTTGTTTTTATCCAATATCATTTTGAAAATTTCCTACCACAACATTGAGGGTACCAAAGATGGAGTGAGGGACTGTAATGCCTTCAATTTCTAAGACTGCAAAATCCTCCTTCTCTGTTTTGTAGGTGAAAGGTTAGCTTAGGAAATCAACTTACTGTTCTTTGAGTGTTATTACCTAGGTCTAGATCTGGATTATTAGTAACCGATCACCCTAAATCTAGTTGGTATTAAGTCATAAACTGGTTGGTATACTTGATCGTAATGGGAAAAGTGTCATTTTGTACTTAATTACAGTCTCTCTGAAACTCCTCATGAAAGGAAAATTTGTTCTTGTTTTACATTTGTTTGCATTTCAAAATGTATACTTTAGAGGAGCAAGCCATTTCAATAAATTCTTTGATATGCTCACCAGGGCAGATGACTGTGTTAATTCAACAAATAACTTTGAGGATATATATGGCACTCTGCCTTCTTAGACAATAAATTAGTTAGAGGAATTAGAGGACTTTAGATTCTGAATTGTAGTGCAACTGGACTGAAAATGTGGAAGATCTTGCTTTGCTTCTTCTACCTATATGACCTTGGGCAAATTAATTCAACCCTTCAGGAATCTATTACCTCGTCATTAAAACTAGACAGTTGATACATTCTCCCAGTTCTGCATTTCGATGAATCTTCTCAAAGTCAATTGATCCCATTTTTTTCTAGAATAAATATATTATTTGATAACATGTTTTAATTTTCTAGCTCTGGAGTTCATTCCAATTTCTCTTCACAGTGAGTGATGCTGACTCTTCAAGTGCATTTACTGAAAAAAAAAAAAAGTTTCATTCTAAAGTAAATTTAAAAGAAAATTTTTAGTGTTTGACAGGAAGCATAGCAGTTAAGATTTCCATAGTATAATTCCTAAAACTCCTACATATTAATTGGCCTCAGAAAATGTACTCAGCTCTTCTCAGCATCAGTGATTTATATATTTTCAATATTAATAATATTTTTCCTGTATGTTGGTTATTCTATGAGAAATTTTCAGAATAGTTGCCAGGAGGCAGTAGTACAGTAAGTGTTGGATAGAATAAACAACTCATTATTCAAAATTATGAACTCACACTTTTCCAGAATAAGTCTACAATATAAAATATAAACACCAACCCATTCATTCCCAGGCAATCCAGCCATTGTACTGTTTGCTTTTCAAGTACTCCACATTTCTTCTTTCAAAGTCTGTTTGTCCTCACAGCTCTGACGCAGCCACCAGAGCACTGGAAGCAACTCCCTTTGGAGCCTATTAATTCTCTTCTAAGCACAAGGCAAAGGAATCAGCACACAGAGATGTGTTGATCCGGCTACACAAACATTGAAAAATGAACAGCAGATGTGGAAAATAACCAGTGGTCTCTCCCCTCATGGATCTGCCCTTTCAGAGTAGACCTTGTGAGGGAAATAAGAGTGGCCTTGAAGTCTTTCTTCTGTGAATAATATAGTACATTTCATGGTTCACCATTATTCAAACATTTATAATCTTTTGTTTCAATGCTTTTGATGGTAATTGTCTTTAATGGTTTTTAAGCTGTGTATGTATAGATATTTTAAAACTTCAAACTATTCATTGATAATTTCTTATTTAAAGCTCTATTCCTGAATTCATATGAGGAAGGGTTTTGATAACCCTCTCCTTTCTTTGTTAAATGAGTAGTATGAAAATGGATTCTCTATATACATAAGACTCAAATAAGATATTAAATGTGAAAATATATTGAAAGCCTCAGAAGAAATATGTACCATAGTAAAATAGAACTTTGTATACACATATATGCATGTATATATAGAATATGATCCATATAAAATACAATCTGCAAATATATATAAAATATGGGTAATTATCTTCCCTTCATATACATGAATCCAATTTTAAGTCAATCCCAATTATGAAAGTCTCATGTTTGAGAATATTGTGGATAACAGCTTCCAAATTATTTTTATATTGAACACTCTTGTTACATCATCCCCCTTATTTCTTCAGTGCATGTGTCTGCTAATTCTGTGGATACTTTAGTAGATACTGCACTAGATCTATAATCTCTATGGAGTCATCCTGTAATGCAGTTTTCCCACATGGACCTTCTTAATTCTTAGTCCATTTCAGGCTTCATGTTGACAACATACCTGTTATTTGCATGTACATTTCTTTCATTTTTTGCAAGACATTTGAATTTTCATTTGTTATAGTTTGATCTAATTTGAAGATCTCGTCTTCCAATGACAGATTTATTTTTTTCAAGAAATAACAAAGATGTTACTTCCTGTTAATGTGTAACATCAAGTTCTATGTTCGAGTTACTTCAAAATCAGCTTTTTAGAGCAATTATATTACAGGATATGCAGAACAACAGTATAACTCTTCATGTTAATGCTTTGTTGCAAATTTACGTGTTTTATAGTGAAGATCGATAACTTTCAGAAACTCACATAATTTACAAATCTTGGTCAATCCCTACTCAGTACTATGCTTAATAATTTCAACTTAAATCAGCTTGGTTAACCCCAGTGTCCTAACGCTGTAAGTAACTTCAATACCTCTTGGCTTTTAAGACCCTTCTCAAGTCCTATGAAGATGATATTCTTCCTTGTTCAGTAAATTTAACAAACTTAGATTTTGTTCAATGAACACTTTATATATGGAGATTCAATTATTAAATGAATTTAGAAGGGATGTAGTTATAAAAAAAAGAAAAAAAGATTGATAGATATCATGTTGCTAACAAGCTATCATGTTGCTAACACATCCTGGGTATATATCATAGACTTTGTCTCTCATGAAGTGAAAAATGATTTTTCTCCTTTTTTAAAAAAAATCTAGTGTAACAGCAATGGCCTTTTCTGTACATATGGAACAAGAAAATGATGACTCAGTTATTACTCTGATTCAGGTTATATGATATGATCTTCTCAATTGAAAGAGATTATAAAGCAGATACCAACATCTTTTAGCTATCTCACATGACTAGCTATTCAAGGATATTTTGAGTTTATTGTTTTTCTTCGTGTGTCTGTGTTTTAAGTTGGAGCAAGCAAGTACAGCTATTGTCATAGCTCCATCAACAATATTTCTTGGTCCCTATTGTGAGCTCAGTGTCTTGCTAGAGGCTGATAGGCAACCTAAGTAGATATCAGATATACTCTTTTCCCTAAGAGCTGACAATATTGTTAAAGAATTAAGATTAATATAAAGGAAAGAAAGCAAA